GTGCGTGCGTGCGTGCGTGTGTGTGTGTGTGTGTGTGTGTGTGTGTTCTGATCCCCCCAAAAAAGAGGCTCTGATCACAGTAAAATTGAGACATCAAATCAATTATTTGATTTGAAAATAATCAAGAAACTAATCAGAATTAGCCAAGTCAGCCGGAAAATTGATTTATGTAACAAATCAGCAGTTTTCCATTTTTTTCTTGTTTTTCTGTGTTTTTTTTAAATTTATTTTATTTATATGATTGTTTTGCCAGCCTGCGTGCCCGACAGGTAGGAAGGAGGCCAGAAGAGGGAGTCGGATCTCTATTTCCTGCAAGTGGTCTCTCTCCAACTGCATGTGTGCATGGGACACACAGACAGACACACACGCACACTCATGCAGGCAGGAAGAAACACATGAGGGAATACACACATGTTCAAACACACACACGCATATGGGTACTTACATAAATAAATGAAATAAAATATAAAGAAAGTAAAAAAAATTACAAAATGTGGGAAATGTTCACATAGGGGAACGCATGTCCTTAGCTTGGTGAGATAAGGTACATGCTGCTGTGTCTTCCACAATCACACTGGCAGGCTCACACCCGTGATCCCCGGCCAGGCAGGAGGATCAGTATAGACTGAGTTGCTTTTTCTGATAACAAATCAGCATCTGCATATTTTTTTCAGCTAGCCCAGAGGCATTTGTTCGATTGTGTTTGAACTCGCTCTGGAGACCAGGCTGGCCTCAAACTCACAGAGATCTACCTGCTTCTAGCTCCCTAGTGTTGGGATTAAAGGTGTGCTCCACCACTGCACCTCCATTGCTTTCTTTAAAGCAGGGTCTTGCTATGCAGCCCACGCTGGTCTCTGACTCCTTCTGCAGCAGCCTCAGCATCCCTAGTGCTGGGATTACAGGTAGGCACGGCCATACCCAGCTCTAACAGGTATTTGTCCACCATCTACACTGTGCTAGGAACTGACTCAAGCATTTCACAGGCATTGTCTCTAGTCTGTACAAACATACTTGTGTGCTATTATTACTGTAGTATTATTTTCATGTTCTATGGTTAGTGCAGACTTGAATCCCAGATTCACAATACTAGGCAGGAGCTCTATCACTGAGCCACGCCCTCAGCCCCTCCCTGGGGGATTCTAGGCAGGGGCTCTACCACTGAGGGACACCCCTAACCCCTCTAACTCCTCACTGGGGGATTCTTTTTTTTTTTTCTTTTGGTTTTTTTGAGACAGGGTTTCTCGGTGTAGCTTTCGAGCCTGTCCTGGAACTCGATCTGTGGACCAGGTTGGCCTCGAAGTCACAGAGATCCTCACGCCTCTGCCTCCTGCGTGCTGGGATTAAAGGTGTGTGCCACCACCGCCTGGCCTCACTGGGGGATTTGTTTTGTTTTGTTTTGTTTTTCGAGACAGGGTTTTTCTGTGTAGCTTTGGAGCCTATCCTGGCACTTGCTCTGGAGAGCGGGCTTGCCTCGAACTCACAGAGATCCGCCTGCCTCTGCCTCCCAAGTTCTGGGATTAAAGGGGTGCTCCACCAATGCCCGGCTCACTGGGGGATTCTATACAGAGGCTTTAGCGTTGAGCTACACTCCTTGAAAGTTGTTTTGACAGATGAGTCGGCTCTGGCTTCAGAGAAACTGTCAGTGGGTGAGAGTCACAGGGAAAGGAAGAGGAAGAATCTTGGTAGTCTACAACCAGAGTCTGACGGGTGTCCTGGACCGCGCTATGAAAACAGCAGTGAGGACCACCAGAAGTGCCTGACCTTGTGGAGCTGCGTCCAGCAGTAAGTCAGTGATTCCCAAAGAGCAGGGGACACACTCAGCATGCTGGACGGTCCTTCTCTTTCTGGATATACCTACCCTGTCTACCCACTGTCCTCTCTCCGGTCTTCCCTAAGCCTGGTCACCCTCTCGTCTCCGGGGCTGGGATCTCATGGCATGGGAGGGGACCTTAGACTTGATACTGATTGAATGGAAACCACCTGGCTTCTGGTTCTCTTGACACTGTGAGAATTAGCTGGACCCGAGGTCCAGAGAACAAAGGGACCTGTCAGAACAGCTTAGGGAGTCAGGGACAGGTGGCAGCTACCTGCAGCCTGCTCCACCAGTCTCTCCTTCCTCCCTTTGGCAAGAGTGCCACGAAGCCCAGGCTAGCCTTGAACTAACCCTAGGATAACCTGGAACTCCTGATTCCTCTGCCTCTACCTCCCAAATGCTGCCATTACAAGCATTGGGCATTACACCTGGTTTATATCATGGTAGGGAATCAAACCCAGGACGGTCTGCATATGAGGCAAACATTTTACCTATAGCGCGCTACAGCTCCAGATAGCTTTTCAAAAATTAAAAAAAAACTTTCATTATATGTAAGTATCTGTGTGGATATGTACAAATCACTGTGGGTGCTGAGGGAAGCCAGAAGAGGCTTTCAGAGCCCCTGGCTCGGGGGTTACAGGCAGTTGTGAGCTGCCTACCGTGGATGCTGGGAACCAAACTCAGGTCCTCTGCAAGGGCGGTATGGTGCTCTTAACTGCTGAGCTCTCTCTCTCCAGCCCCCACAGGAATCTCTTGCAAATAGACAAGCCTCGAATTCCTGACCCTCCTGCCCCCACTTCCCAAAGGCCGAATGTACAGGTTATTTCCAGGGCTCTCTCTGCGGGCAGCGCTTTCTGTTGGAGCTCTCACAGTCTGTGACTCCTTCCTTTCGTCCTCCTTTCTCTCTGTCTGACACAGGATCTTGCTGCTCCCCCCTGGCTGCCTCCCCCTCCCTAGGGCTGGGATTAAAGGTTTTTACCACCACCCC